AAAAATTATGTGCAGCATACCAAATTGTTTGACTTTTTTGCTTTTTTTAAAATGTAATAATTAATTTGAAGATAAATTTAAAAAAAAAAACAAGTACGATTTAACACGTAAGACTTCTCCCATTCATTTATTGAAAAGTTATTATGAATTTTACAACTAATGGAAATATTTGCATGTGTAATTAGCAATGCGTATGAGTGCTGTCCAAACTGATGAACAACTTGTATACGTGGTACGATGTTTGGTTGCATATGCGGATGCTTGTGGATTATTTAATTCAAAACCTGAATTGCAAGAAGTATTCCGTTTTTTAATTTTTATATTTTACAAATAATGAAGCAAAGAAAACGCTTAATTAAAATCATATTTTTTCAATGTTATTATTGACGTAATAAATTTATTTAAATGGAATGAATGGTATTTTAATTAAGTTTACTATCCATTTGATCTTTTACTTTCTTTTATTTAATTAATTTTACTATTCAATAAATTTGATCTTTTACTTTTTCGTCTAGAAAGCTGACAAATTCTCCGATGACTATCTTGCTATGTTAGCAATGAAAAAAGCTGCAAGGGAGCGTAAGACTGTAGCACCGCCGGAAGCGGAACGAATTGACGAAAAAGCAGCAGTAATGAAAGCGGAAGAAAAGAAGGAAGAACCATCACAACGATCAATACAGGAGCTCGAAAAACGTGACACGCCAATTTTAAGATTGGAAATACCAAAAATAGAACAGAAAGAGCTACAGCCGTTACAGATATTTGAGAACGACAAGCAATTACAGAAAGTAGGCCAAGTATTATCACCTTACGCTATTCCAGTTCCGCAGCCGGAGGAACTCATTCAACCGGCACTGTCACCTGCACCGCTTCAACAGTTCAAGAAACCAATGCAACCGGTATTGTCACCTTTCGTTGCTCCAGCTCAACAATTACCGAAACAACCATCACCCTTTGTTATTCCGGTTCAGCAGTCGCAACCACAAACAGAAGCGCCAATATCAATTTTTGTTGCTCCGATTCAGGAATCGCAAAATCAAATCCAAACATTACCATCACCCATCATTGGCCCAGTTCAGCAAAAACCGCAAAATCAAATCCAAGCATTACCATCACCCATCATTGGCCCAGTTCAGCAAAAACCGCAAAATCAAATCCAAGCATTACCATCACCCATCATTGGCCCAGTTCAACAACCACAAAAACAATTCCAACCGGCAACAACGGATTTTCTTGTTCCGATTCAACAGCAGAAGCAGCTTCAACCGGTATTAATAGCTTCTGCCGCAATTTCCAATCCACTTGCTCAATTAGTAATTGAGGAGGTGGGTTGGAAATTGCCACCAAAGCAGCTATTGTTAATAGTCATTAGTTAATCACTAGTTCAGATGCAACAATCTGGAATCACCATAATTTCCGGTATCTTTTATCATTTCAGCAATTAACAATGAACACTTATCATTAAAGTTAACCATATTATTAGCATCACTTTGTAATTGCAGTCAATTCCGCCGTCACAGCTGAAGCCTAATCAGGAACTGAAACCGGTCAAAATGCCATCTTCGCCAACAAAAGCAAACAAAACATAGAATTTTTAACTAAGCACTATAAAGATGAAAAAGGCTGCAATGAATGAATAATTATATATTACAAAAAGAATGAAAATAAATAATTATTGCTTGAACTGAATTTCAAAAAAAAAAAAAAAGTTCATGCATATTTTAAGCAATCATTATATAAAAATTACGTGAATCATCAAATGAAGTTAAAATCATTTGTGAACGTACGAAGTGATTATTAACATAAAATAATTGTTTTTCAATTTCTACATCAAAAATATTCCTTAATTATTTGATGATATCCTTCCTAAATAAAAATTTTTATGTTTTCAATACTGTATCACTTGAACTATACTTTCATAGCAACGGTATTTTTTAGTTCATAAAAAAGAAAATCCTTAAATCAGCTAAATTTAAATTTTATCTTATTTAGGTCAATTATGTTGATTAATATGAATAATTTTACCATTTCTGGTTTGTTATGTTTCGTTAAAAATTAAGAGATGGTTGCATGGCATTAGTTATTTTGTCGAACAATGCCAACTAATTAGCAATCATCATTAGGTAAAAAAAGATGAGTAATCAGTTAATCTTTTGATAGCTAGCAAATTTTAGCAGATTCAAATAATCAGGAAATAACATTGATCAAGCAATATCAATTAATTGGCGGATGCAAATAATTATTGGTAGCCAATTTCCAAATAAATACTGAATGTCAGCTCATCAATTAATATTAGCTGGTTAGCAAATTTTAATTAATCAGCAGATATCAAATGATCAGTCAATACTAGCCAATTAGAGAATGCTGGTTGGTCAACAAATGCTAGCTAATTGACAAATAAATAATAAATGTTAGCTATCCAAAGAATAAATGTCAAGTAATTAAATGTTAAATGTTCATTAATCAAATGATAAATGTAAACTAACATCATATGCCAGCTATTAATACAAATTTTTCCAAAGTTCGGAAAAACTATTGATTTTTGCTTTACTAATTCGTCCGATTTAAGTATAAATTATGTTAAACAATAATTTTGATTAATACATTATCGAATCAATATTACTGCGTTTTCACCAAATCTAACCAAATAAAATCAATAAGTGAAATAATTTATTAATCATCTTACAATTACTCCATTTCATTTCATTCATTTAATTTTCATAATTTCTAATTTAGAGTGAAATGAAATGCAAAAAAAAAAAAACAAGAGGAAATGAATGATTCATCAGCGTTGAGCAACACCATTTGCTATTGATTAATTTTTTTCAGTTGTTTTCATATCTTTCAAATAAAATTAATTTACGGACGGATTTTTTTTTTGTTTTGAAAAACTTTGTGAAACAAACATTTTCTTTAATTATTCCTTTTTTTTCAAATGTAATTTATCTTTCTTTACGGCGACTAATATGTCATTTTCAAAGTCTCATTCAATATTTCGAAAATTTTTTCTTCCATATAGGGATGAATAAACTTTCTTGTTATTTTCTGTCAAATTTTATTTATTTTGCCATCTTGATTTAACCAAAAAAAAAAAAATCATGAGAAGATTTAATGAAAATTTTATGGCCAACTAAATTTTAAATTATTGGAAATTGATATATTCATTTTATTTCAGTACGAATGAAAATTCCTATTAACCAATTCACTATTATTATCACTTTTTCGTCCTTTTTAAATTGAATTATTAGCATTATTCATTCATCATCATTATTTCATGCATACATTCATTTTATTGGTATATAATTAATAATTTGTGGTAGTTTTCAAAATAATCTTATAAAAATGTTTACATTATTGTTATAGAAATTTATACTTCTCAGTGAAATGATAAAATATGCTTTGTATATTTTCTTCATTTATAATCGTTAATAATTTCTATCCGATAATCTCACGTTTACCGATAGTTTCATCTTTCAAATGACCAATAGCCAATTCTTTCTTCACAATCAATTTCATTTACATAATGACCATTCGTTATAAATAATATTCAACGAGCACCGCCCATTTCGGAAGAGCGTATTTCTCAATGAAAGTTATTGCTCTGAACTATGACCTCAACAAGTAATCCTACCATCTGCACTTCTCTGAACTACGATCTCAACAAGTATTATTACTATCCGCACTGCTCTGAACCACGACCTTTTTGAACTATGACCTCAACAAATACTTGCAAATTATTCAGCAACTAAAGGAGAACAATGAAATGATCAACCCTATTCTTAATAATTCCTATTAATTGTACTATCCTGTCAAAAAGAAATAAACCGCACTATCAAATAATCAATGAAGTTATCAGTCAGAATAGAATTCTGTAAAAAAAAGTTCACAACAATTTTATTGCTAAAAGAATTTATTTTTCTTTTTTTATCTTTGATTTAATCAATGCTCAGTTATCATGATAATATTGATAATTGGACAAAAAGCGATAAAATGATGATGATAAAAATAACTCTCAACTAGCGGATGAGTGTAGGAAAAAGTTGCTGTCAGACTTTTCCATAATCAATTTTTCTTTTTCTTTCTTTAATAAAAAAATGAAATTTAATTTTGGGCAATTATTTATACTTTAATTCCATTTGCATTTGTGTGTGTGTGTGTGTGTGTGTGTGTGAAGTGAATTATGGATATATGTGTTTTTTTATTTTCCGAATTGTTCCACTTTTTCAAAATATAAATCCAACAAAAGCATAGGAATTAAACCTTTCCGAACTTCATTATAACAGGCTTGAAGTAAAAGGGAAAAAGAATTGATAGCATATTTCAAATTTTTATCTAAAAAACGAGCTTTTTACTTTTATTTCTTAAAAACAATTGTGAAATCATCTCCTACTTTTTCAAATTTTCCTTTTTTTTCCCGAAATATTAGGCTGATATTTGAACCAATAAAAATATATGACGGTTTCATGATCAACAATGAAACTATTCATATGAACAT